TTTCTTCTATTGTATGTTTGTTGTGTGTGTGTGTGTGTGTGTGTGTGTGTGTGTGTGTCAGTGTTATATTTTTTTAATTTTATTATTACAGCCAATACATGTATGTATTAATTATGTTATTATTTAAAAATCCAGAAGAATCGAAAATTCTGAACGTGTTTCCATGTGTCTTCGATGTTTTTCCAAATTCCATGTACTTTTAAATTTCACATCGTGCACAATATTTTTCTATCAATCGTTGTAGACAATTAAATTTACAAATATCGTCAACCTTAATTTTAACATAAACCATATGCCGCAAAAAGAAACTGCATGATAATGTATAATAATTTTTTTGCTTCCTCGTCTCGTCGTTGACGATTATAGCAACGAGAAAAGATACACGAGAACCTCACGATTCTCAGCGACCAGGCGCTGCTAAGATAAACCATGATTTATCGTGACACGCACACATGCAAGCGTATTTATCGCGGTTATTGTTCTCGAATAGCGCAGGCACGTGCCTGAGATACTTACCGTGTACGTCACTACCCATGATACGCGCAATATTCTCGAGATATATTAAGCTTCATTCTATAATTTGTAACAAAAACAAATCTCCAACTGTCAATCGCGCTTCGTACAAAATTTGATGAAAAAAGTGAAAAATCGACATACAAAAAAAATTGTTTTTTTAAATAGCAGAAAAAATTTTCTAAATCGCACAAAAATCTCAATCTTATCTGTCATTATATAACTAAGTTAAATTTATATTAATTTATATTAATCAATATTTTTTCACAGAAAAATATCCTTAATATTTTTGTTCGTGATTATCACAAAATTATTCACGTATTATTATTGTAATGTAATGTTTTTTTAATATTTCTATTTTCTTCTGAAAAATTATTTTGAATAAAATGTGCATATTCCAAGAAACACGTATTCGCGTACTTCTTTTTATCTTCGACGGGCAATTTCTCACCTTTCACTTGCTGCACGCTCGTGAGTTTTCGCTCCCAGAGATCGTCAAACGGATGGGCAGCCGAAGGTTCGAAATCCACCCTATATTGTCTCATGCCGGCACTCGTCGTATAGCAGCATGTACACATGCACGAATGATACCGAAGCCGTCCCTCGTCCAGATAAGGATGCGCCAGGGCATCCACCACAGTGATCCTCTTGTCCTGTATAACAATTGTCGAAAAAGACATATTACATGATAAATATAATATCATACAATCAAATAAATATTATCGATCAAAAGGAAAGAAATTCGAAATAAATGCAACAAAATAAAATGAGGTGGGTTTATTAGGGGTGAGAGTGGAAATCAATTATATATATAATTAATATTATTATATAATTAATTAACATTAAAAAAAATGTGTGTAAAATGTAAAAGTTATAAAAATTAAAATTTAAATCTATTTATGGAATAAAACCGGATGAAACCAAGGTAATGCAAAACATAAAATGTAAAAAACTAATTTACTTTAGTGTGTAGAGGCAAACTTACGGGATCGAAGACTAGCATCTGGCAGAGCAAATGGACGGCCTCGTGCGTCGCCTGGCTGCTAAGATTATACAGGGTTGCGAGCGACGGTGGCTTTTGCGCCCTTCTCAGCATATGAGACTTTGCGCCCTCGCACGCATACCTCATCTCTTCGAGAGTGGGTGAGCCAAGCAGCTCCGTAATTAACTCAAGCTACAATCAAGAGAGAAGACGTTATTACTTCGTCGTTTCCAAGCAACTCTCTCCGCGAGTAACATAAAATATTCGCCATTGTTTCCCGACCGTGGCATCGCTGATGTCACGTCACGGCTTAGTTGAATACAAGATCTTTTTTGAGAAGAGACGTGAGCCGAATTTTTCGGGGGTCCCACTCACCTGTTGCACAGGGCTTTGGGCCTGGAAGAGGATCCGTCGACGCAGGAGCTCGCCGAAGATGCAACCGACGCTCCACACGTCCACCGCAGCGGTGTAGTGCCGCGCGCCCATCAGGATTTCCGGCGCGCGATAATACTGTGTCACCACTTCCTGGGTCATGTGGACGTTCTGGTCGGGTTCCGCCACTCGGGCCAAACCGAAATCACAGATCTGGAGAAAGAGAACACCTAGTGCGCTTGGCCGTATGACGTATAAATAGACACGCTAGTTAAATTTAGAATTTCGCTCGTATTCGAGATAAAGCGTCTGAGTCGAATGAAAGGCTCCTTGTCGTCTATATTTTCTTATCGGCGAGCCCAAACAAGGAGGGAATATGATATGTTCAAAATTATTAACATCTAGATTCTAAGATATTCGGATTTTTAGACTCACTTTTAGTACGCAATTGCTGTTTACTAGAAGGTTTCCGGGTTTGATGTCCCTGTGAAGAATTCGGGCCGAGTGAAGGTATTTGAGGCCTGAAAAAATAATGATACGACGTGAATTATAAATCTGTCTTAATTATAATCGCTGCGAAAGTTTCATAATATACCAATTATTTTTTATAACAAACAGAAAATACAGGATATAACAAAAGTTGGATAAAGATTTTATTCCAATTACACTTGGGTAATAACACATTCTTGCAAATTGCGAAAATTATCAGAAAAATTATCAGAATTAAATTTAATTAGTTCACTAATCAACGTTGATAGGAACAAACAACGACAACAACGTCACAAAGGGACCGATGGGAATTAATCACGAGGATGCGAAGCTTTTTATCGATCGTGAAAGTTGACACGAGATCGTCATCGTCTCGCTCATACAAGTCTGCGAAAATGATAGTGATGGAAGAATTTTTCTCGCCAGCGTGACAAGCTGACAAAACATCAGAGATGCCGCTGCTGTGACATGACACGTCGGTCGCGTCAACGTGAACCCAATTTTCGTGTCGATGAAAATTCGCGCCGAGCAAAATGCCGACCGATTTTCTCCCTTGATGAAAATTCGGGGTACTTCGAAACGCTGATTACATCAGGCTTAATCAAAAATCGGTTATTATTTTGTCGAAAATGCCTGTTGATGAAATTCGGGTGGCGCGCAAATGCGATGAATAATAACCGAATTTACCCTCCTTTTAATAGAATAATACGGGACATAAAAGTTTCTATGGATCCTTTGCAGTTTGATCCACCCATTGTTATACGACGTGTTTTATATCTACCACCCTTAGAGAAAGTAATGTGATATAACGTAAGAGAAATTATAAGAAAGAAAATTTATATTAAATGTCAAAAAATTCAAGGAAAGTCTTATCTTATAATATTTATAAAATTACAATTTTGTACCGCAAACTAATTTTAATTTCACATTATGAAATAAATTTATAAAAATTCAAAAAAATGATAAATTATGCTAATTTTCTCGAAACTCTGTTAATCTTTCTTGTAATAAAATTTGGTATAATATTTTAACTTACTTAGTTTATTTATAATATTAATATAAATATATAGCTTATTTTTAGCAATTTACAAATTACCATAAAAGAGGGTGAAGTCGATCGGAGCGTTTTCAAATCGATCACATTGCTCGTTTTATAAATACTCGAGTGACGCACGTGACTCTTTAATTAGTCGCGTCTGATTCAATTAGTCGATATACGAAGTGCTCGAGAAAGTATAGGACTCTCCGATTCATTTCTTAGATTAGTTTGTTCTTTATGGTACAACATTTACATAACTCATAAGAATTTCGCGAAAGCTCCTTCGTTTCCCTTTTGTTTCCTCGTCTTATTTTAAGAGGGTGATTTCTCTCCCGCACGAGAATAGTGGACGTGAAGAAGTGAGAAATGACACGGTTGAGCAGGGCGTAACAAAATTCCTTTAGCGTTTTCTAATTTATTCCTGTCAAGGAATTGACTTTACAGTTCGTTTGCGTTAATTCAGAAAATACATTTAAAAAAGGTACGGTGTATATTTTAAGGTACGAAAATATTGACAAATTAATTCACCGAACATTCAATTACAATTATAATTCGTTCCATTTTTTGATATTCATTGAAATTAAAAATTATCAGAAAATGTCAGTGCATTATAATGTGACAAAATTAAAGGATATTCAAATTATTGAATAAAGTAAAATAAAGTTACAATGAGAGAGCAAAACATTTTATCAAATTTATACTTGTACTTATTTAAATTTCAATATGTGATAACTTGCATAATTTATTATATGTGCACAAGTTCAAAACGTAGAATTATTCCTAAAATTATATTCAATCACGGCCCTGAATGTGAGTCACATAACGCATTCGACTGTTTCGGCCTCCCGGCAATAAAACTCACTAATATTACCGGGGTTAATCCATCGTCTGAGGGGTTACTGGCGAGCTCGGGGAGTCCACCTCGTCGTAATTAAAGTCTCCCTCGTCCGGGTTTGCTGTACGGCCGCTCTTATTATCGTATCCATTCGCACGCGATTAACTCGCATCCCGAAAGCTCTCTCGTTGAGCCGGCATCTTCGCCATGCATTTGTTTAAGTAGCGTGAAAAATTCACTTAGCCGCCAAGCTGCACCGCGGTTTAATCGAATGTTAAATTATTACAGATAAATTCACATTTTTCTCTTTTTTCCGAAAAATATATTCCGCGATTAAGAAAAAATTAGTAGATACAAGTAGGAACAAATACCTAAAGAAACATGTGCAAATGTTGATAAATCAATAAATTTTAGAGGTAATAATGCCTAATATTCTGTAATTCGTCATTTAACGCAAAAAATTATATCTGTTGAATATGAAAAAATTATTAAAAATTAAGGAATTTTGACGAATCTTCAAAGTAGCAAATTTTAAAAATAAATTTTCACTTTCAGTTAAAATATAATTTCTCAAGAATTTTAATCTGCATTCTGAAAATTTCTTACAGTTTCGTCTGAGCTATTTCGTTTAAAATATTTAATCTTAAATTTTTTTAATTGCATTAAAAATACAAAAATGTTACAAAAACGAAAGAATTTTTATGGACAAATATGCATTTTTCTCAAGCTCCAACAAAATCTTAATATCATATTCTGAATATTAAATATACTCGAAATCTCGAAATGAAATAGTCGATCATAATAATTTTAATTGTATAAAAATTTTATATATATATATATATATATATAAAAAACATTCAGTAATGAAAGTTGGTCAACCGCATCGAATTTGCGCATTCAAGATTTGTAATTAATCCCTAATTAATCTATAGAATTCGCTATTGATGTGTTATTCGACATAGCATTCTGTTAATTTGCATATGTAACGGTATCAATGTCAATTATTATAAGTCGACTTTGTCGTTATACCGTCGATAAAATCTGACGAGTCGAATAAATCGTAAATTCAGTTATACCGGACAATTAATTAGCCGTGCGCGTGCGGAAACGCCTGCTAATTAAAGTCCATCAGCGGGCCACTTATGAATATCCCAATTATTTAATGTCCTTTATCAACGAAATTAGCCGACTCCGCATACACCTCGCAATCAACGAGATTTCATGCGCGCGTCATTTCGCCATACCGATGCGACTGCAAGCAAGAACGTTATTTCTTCTGACTAATGCAAACGTGACAAAGGAAGCTGCAATTAATGCTGACCAACTGCGAATGACACTTTTGAAACTTTTCCAACGAGGGATTAGTTATTTTCATTTGACTTTATGTAATTGGCCGCGTCTCATCCCTCTTTCTTTCGTTTTCTCTTCTCTTTCGCCGTCTCGTATATATCGAGAGAATTAATTTAATTAAAAGTTGCGCTAATTAATTGAAGAGTAACAAAAAAATGCAAACAATATCAAATTAATCAATAGGGTTCTTTTTAAAAAAGTCAAGTTGATTGATCGACATCCTAATAAAATTTTTTAATTTACACTTTTATTCTTTAAGATATTCCAAAGAGAGAGAGAGAGAGAGAGAGAGAGAGAGAGAGAGAGAGAGAGAGAGATATA